CCTGGGCTCCAGTGCCCAGCCCATCTCCGCAGGGCACCCGCTCCCCGTGGCTCTGCTCGTCCCGTGCGGCATCCGCTCCCGGCTCATCTCCCGCACTCTCTGATGCTCTCGCTCCCCAGGGCTCCCGGTGCACATCTCGGACTCCCAGAGCTCCCTCTCCGCACCCTCCCCTGGTTCCCCGTCCGCACCCCGCACTCCCGGAGCTGTCCCGCCCCGTACCGGTCCCGCCGCCCGGGAGCGGGACAGGCACCGCACCGCGCTCACCTCGCCGCCCGTTCCGCCGCTCTCCGCTCAGCGCCGCCGCTTCGCTCCGCGCGGGGCCCGCCCGCTGCCGGTGGAGGCGGTGCCGCGCCCGCCCGGCCCCCCCGGATCTGTTCCCGGGCCCCGATTCCCGATGCCCCCGACGTCCTGCGCGGATCACCAGGTGGAGGCACGAGAGGGCAGGGCGTGGAGCCCACCCTGAGCACCGGGGCTCGCCCGCAGGAGACCCGGGGCCGGTGTCGCTCGGCGGCGGCAGGTGCCTGCCGATGCCACGCTGCTCATCCCTTTGCTCCTCGCTTTGCCAAACTCTGAGCAAGTGAACGCGGAGGGCAAGGCACTTCCCCTGTGCTTGCACGGCCCGAGTGAGGGCAGAAAGGGAACTCGCACCAGAAACAAGGTAGAAAGATTTGCTTTAAAACCAGGCGGAAGTGGCATGGAACCAGCACTGCTAGGGAGCACACCGTACCCATGGTGCCAGCTCTAGGCCGGCTGCCTCTGTGGGATGTGGGAGTGGGAATGGAGACAAACACTGGCATGGCTGCATGTAGCTGCAGGATCAGAGGGCACAGAGAGCCCCAGTCCCATGGCAGGAGCAGGCACAAGGCACAGCTCTGCCTGCTGAGGGGCTCCAGCTCCCTACACTGCTGCTGAGGAAGGGAAAGCAATTTCCTTAAGGGATGCCATCACACAAGTTCCCAGGACAGTTGTGTTTGGGCCTGGCGGCTCTCAGTGGGACAGGGTGGGCACATCGCATGCTGGAGAGGTGACAGCTCAGAGCAAAACCCACTCGGGACTTTTTGTGCAGCAGGAAGGAAGCATTGGGGTATCCTTGTTCTGAGCTCCTTGGCCCCAGCCCAGCCTGCCCAGTGGTATCACTGTCCATCACTCTGCTGGCTCAGGGAGCCGCTCTCCACGCGGGCCAGGTAACCATCATAGTTCTCTTCACACCTCCTCACGCAGCGGAGGAAATAGTCCTCATTGGCGATGGCCTCCAGGAGGTCGGTCTGCACCAAGCAAACATCATACAGCTCCGAGGTAGGAGCACACCTGGGGCTGCTGCTGCCTCGCTCCGAAAACACCTGTGGGAGAAAGCAGAGTATGGAAGCACTCATCCCCTGTGGACAACAGTGCCAGGGCCCAAGTGCAAAGCCTGGCAGCAGTGCATGCATCCCAGTGTGCATCACAATGCCTCCCTCAGCCAGGTGCTGACAGCTAACTGAGCATCTCCTGCTGAGCGAGCTGATGGCAGCAGGAAAGGGCTCCCATTTTCACTCTCGCGGTAGAAGATTAAGTTTCTCCAGATTTCCCTCCCCTCCCAGACGGCCCCTTTGGATCAGAACCAGCTTGTCACAACGTGTGGCTGGGGCTCCCCTAAGGAAAGGGTCACACTGGGCTGCTGGAAGAAAAACTGTGCTGTGATCAGCCAACCCCAGGAAAGCTTCTGCTGCCAGCTCTGCCGTTGCTGCCCCAGCCTGTTGCCAGAACTGGTGCTGCCACACGGCACAGGAAGGGTCAACAGCTTCACCATGCTTTTGCCTAAGGCTGCCTGATAACCTGCTTCCTTCCCAGCACAGCCATGCAGCACTCTGTCACTGTCACAGGGGATGGCCCTGCAGAGCTAGTGACACAAAAGAGGAAGATGGTGTCTAAGCGACCTATCCAGGCTACAGAGCGAGGCCAGACAGCAGCACTGAGCCCTGCTGGAAAACTGCTCAGCTGCCATCCAAACCCCTACTGGGTCTGCTGCCAAGATAACTCGATCCCACCTGTCTGATCTGGTGCCAGGGGAACCTTGAGGTTATCTTCACAGCTGTCCCAAGACAAGCTGAGCAGCCCAACTGACCCAGCTGTGCTGGCTACAGATGGTGACAGGCTGAGCTCCTTGATCAGGGAAACAGCCCAGGGCTGAAATGCAGCAAGTGGAGCTGCATGAGTTGTGCTCTGGCTGCTCTAGACATGCAGGAAGCAGCTGCTGCAGAGAAACGTTGGGCTCTCAGCAGAGCCTTCTGCATTCATTTACTTCAATCAGCCCAGGCACAGAGCAAGCCTTTCCTGTAACAGGTCTGCTCTGTGCAGTGACAACTCCTGTCACCAGCTACAAATCTGAGAGTGCTTGTGTAGAAGTGAATATCTTTGCTATGCTCCAGGTGCCCTGCACACCACTGCAGGCTTCTTCGTGTGCTGACTCCTCCTGGATGGAACCCAGCCAGGGCTAAGACTCATCTGTGGAGCTGCAGCTCTTGTTTGATCACTGATAGTTCGTCCAGTTGCTGAGTGCATTTTGGTCTGCATCAGTGTTCCCAGGCTCCACCACAAATGCTGCCCTTTAAATACAGTGCCACAGGACGCTGCAGCCGCACAGTGAGGCTGGCTGGCTGCCGTGCTGGCAGGGAGCAGGGATGACTCACCCCAGTGGAGCACAGGAGCTTGGCAGCATGCACAGGCATTGAACGCCTGCTGTTCTGTGCTGACAGCCAATTCCAGCCTCCCCACCGACAGCCCCAGTCACCTGGGGACCAGCGACACCAGGACAAAGCCTTGGTCCCTCTCTGCACACTCATGCTGATACAAAGTGAACAGAACATGTCTGCCTAAGCAGGGACACCCCAGCTAGCAGTAGGGGATGTTCGGCCACCTACCTGAGGGTGGACAATGGTGTCTGCATCATCCAGCCGGATGTTGTCATCAATGAAGATGTGGTGAATGCTGGGGTCATGGGGGTCTATCCACAGGGGCTTCCCACCCTGGGAAGAGAATTGATTTCTGGCCCACCTGAAACAAAAGGTGGTGCAATGCATTGTCAGAGAAAGGACAGGGCGATGGCTTGCATGTAAGGGCTGTCGAGTCAGCACCAAATTACTACTAAGAGCCAGGGAAATTGAACAGTAGGCAGAGAGAGTCCTGTCTCTCTGCTTAATATTGCCTCCTATGAAAGAGAAACACTTTGCAGCCAGGAGACAAATTAGAGGGTGTTTAGAAAAAAGCAAGAATTACAGCAGGGGATGGAGATGCAACAGAAAATGCAAGAGTACCATCAGCCTGCCTACAAGCAAAATGGTGAGCACAGAAGTTATTGGAGCCGCAACAATGTAAAGGCATCAAAACTAGGAGCTATCTCAAACCAGAAGAATCACAGAGGAGGATAAAATGCCCAATCTGCTTTCTCAGTGCCCTAGTTCTCACCAGTCAAAGTGGTCTTGGAAGCCTCCAATTCCCTCCAAAGAGCTGAAGTAATCGTACAGCTTTCTTCCATCCTCCCTGGTGGTGAGTCGTTCTGATCCTCGTTTCAGCACAACCTCTCGCTTACTGCAGCATATTTGGCCAGGAGTGAGGACCACAGGGAGCTGCAGTATTATTGAAAGCAGGAGATGAGAGGTTTCCAAAGCAAGCAGATTGTTTACTGCATTGTAACAGACAACAAACAGCAGGGTGGTAACCTTTCATGACAGTGTGGGAGGACAGCACTAGGGAAAACGAGATGTGAAAGCACTAGGGAAAACGAGATGTGAAACCCACACAACCCAAAAAGCTTTCTGTCTGCTGGGGAATGGAAATAGAGACCATCTAGCTGCACCTTTCCATCCTTTCAGTGCCCAGTTGTTGTCAGCTCACTGAGAAACAATTGAAGTGACTTCTGATGGTTGGACTAGATAATCTTAATGGTCATTTCCAACCTCAGTGATTCTGTGATTCTATGACACTTGCTACTAGTGCTCCTGCCCTGCCTCCTGGTGGGGCCAGCTTTGGGTAAAGGTCCTGTTGTGCTGCAGAGGCCACTCCATGCCCAGCTCAGCCACCCTGCCCGCAGATCCCCCACCAGCACATGGGGACACACTCACCGCCAGATCCCGCAGGGCAGGGAACTGGGGGTGCTGCCCAGCCAGGGCCGAGCGCAGGGCCAACAGTGTGCGGGGCAAGTCGGTACCAAAGGTCCTAAAGATAATAGTGAAATCCCTGCCATCCCGGTGCAGGGCATCCAGCAGGCGGAAGAAGGAGGGCAGGATGAAGTGGTAGTGCTTGCCGTGCCCATCTTGCATGGAGAGCTCCTGGTGGGGCTCACCCGGCCACTCCAGCAGCCGCAGGTGCTGTGCGTGGAGGCTGCTGAAGCACTGGCCAGGGCCGGATTCGGTGAAGGCCTGGTCACGGCCATAGCGACAGTAGTAGCTGACGGCTGCGGGGCAGGGGGCTCGCAGCGAGGGGCGGTCACTCACCCACTGCCATTCACCTGCAAGAGAGAAAGCCGCTCACTGGCTGCCCACCGACCCGGCGCAGGCACGGCCCGGATTCCCCGGCTCCTATCCGGCCCCGGCTCCCCGATCCCGGCCCCAGCTCCAGCCCCGACCCCTCAGTCCCGTCCCTGCCCCCGGCCCTCCAGCCCGGTGCTCACCGTCAGCCGCCTCCCGGCCCCAGGTGGCGGTGCTGAGGAAGATGTTCAGCGCCTCCCGCGGGCCCAGCCCCGACACCGCGTCCGCCGCCACCACCGTGTTGTTCAGGTCCACGTGCAGCACCAACCGCCGCCGCCCCGCCCGCCCGCTCATGGTCCCGCTGTCGGCACCGGAACCGGCGACACGGAGCCCGTTGCCTGGAAACGGCGCCGCTTCCGCCCTCCGCAGCCGCCCCGGCGGCGCCCCCTGCCGAGCCCTCCCGGGGCCGCGGTTGCCGCGCTCAAGGGTCGGGAGGGGCGTGGCCGATAGAGGGGGGGGCGGGGGCGGCTCATGTGGTGGGCGTGACAAAGAAGCCGGAAGCGGAACTGGGCGGTATTTCCGGCGCTCTGCGGGCGGCCATGTTGGAGCGGAGAGTGCGGCGCAGAGGCGGGTGCGGGTCTGGCGGCGGCCGGTAGGTTGGGGCCGGCGGTGCCCGAGTCCCGCGCTCCCGGGCGGGGGCACTGCCGAGCCGCCCCGGCGGGGGGCGCCTTCCGGGTGCTGGAGGCGGAGCCGCAGCTCTGCGGGCCCCGCCCCGGTCTCCGCCCCCTCCGGGTGCCGGGAGCCGGCGCGGGGCCGCACCCGCTGTCTGCACCAATCACCTCCCCGCAGCCCCCCCGGGGAGAGCACCGAGACCCGGCGGGGCTGTCCGCACCGGGCTCCTCCGGTCGGTGGGGCCGAAAGCGCACGGTCCCGGGTCCCGCCAGGCCGAGGGAGGATATGAGGAAGCGAGGGTCGGGCCCGGGGAAGGGGCATCGTCTCGCTACCGAAGGGAGGCGGCGCCGTGAGCCTGCCAGCCCTATGAACGTTCCCTGGTCGGCCCTGCAGAGCTCCTGGGGCGCAGCCTGGCCTGGTCTTGTCCTACTGACAGCCGCCCCCAGGCTCCTCGAGCCCTCTGGCTTTGCTACCGATCTGCTCCTGGGATAGCAGAGCACCTTGCTTGCCGGGCGGCCACACCAGCAGCTGTGGCCATCGGGCACTATTGCTAGGACTTGTTCCTGAGTAGGGCACCAGTTGGACAGCCTTGCTTTTGGGTGGGCCTTTGTGCACACTGCAACTTGCACTGCACGAAGCAAGGCTGTGTGTCTGGATGCTGGGATGTTCTGTCCATGTGGCAATGAACACTGGACCACACACTGCTGTTGGACACCAAAATACCTGCCCAGGTGTCCTGGCTGCCCCTGGGCTCTGTGCAGCCTGAAATTCTCAGTGGAAGATAATGAATTTAGCAACCTACTAAGAGTGTGTTGTTAGTTGTGCTTCTCTGCTGGCTTCTCACTCTCTACCACATCAGGATTAAGCTCTCTGTGCTTGCTGGCTTCACAGTGCCCGCTGCTGCTCGATCATTATGGAGATAGCAAACCTGGCTGCTGGGCACGGGCACCAGCCCAGTCCTGCCCAAGCGGACTCCTCCTCACCCGTGGGAGGTACCCTGGGTGTTGCAAAGCGGCTGCATGATCCTCCTTCAAATCCCTCTTCTGCTGTGACGTCTGCAGAACACTTGACATGGATTAGTCTGTCATGTGGCAGCTCTTAGCCCCTCGCTGACCTGTGCTTCCCTCTGTCTACTTTTGGCTGATATTAAACTGTGGGCTTGTGTATTTTCCCTGTCTGTGGGAGCTGCCCAGCCCTGCGGTGCAGCTGCACTTTGGGAGGAATCCAGGCTATGAGCAGTTCCTCTCTCTGCCGCCTCAAGTGCTCATTTCTCCAGCTCTCTTATCTGCATACTGCCCACTCCTCTGGTGCCTGCCACACCTTCAGCATGTCCCTGAAAAGATTGTTCTTTTGATTCCTCTTTGCTATTTTGAGAACGGTGCTACAGATTTTTGCTTCCAGCTGAGGTGTTGGCTGGGCAGCCAGATCAGCGTGAGAGTTTGAGTTCTCCCAGTCGCACCATGAAATCCCACCCTGCTCTTTGGTATCTTTTTGTTTTTGTTTTGTGAGCCAAAATAGATGCTCTTGTTGCAGCTGCTTTGTGCCACTGAGTGAGATCTGAGTGTTGTACTTCTAACCATTGTGCACATGGCCTGCTGATGCCCATTTTCTGCCTGCCACTCCACTTGAACTTCGCACTTCCTCACTTGGCAGTGAACGTCCTTGGATCGACAGCAGTTTGCTGGAACAGCGAGTTGTAGACTGTGGCTGAAACACGGGGACAGCAAGGAGTGGCGTTGTGTTGCCCTGATGTTCAGCATCACTGGAGCGTGGCTGAAATAGCCTCCAGTTCTGCTGTCAGTGTTTCAGAAGGATGCTGCAGATTTGGAAAGGACTTGGAATCCTTTTTTGAGCAGAATCAATTCAAAGCTGAAAAAATTGAATGTGACACAGGAGTAGAATTGAGCTGCTTGAGCTGCTTAGTTCATCAGTGAGAGTGCTGACATGGTGTGATCATGTTGTCCTCAGTATGTGCACAGGGAAAGGCTTAAAGGAAATGTTGCTTTGCAGAGGCAAAATGAGATCTGGGTTCCAGATGCTGGGGCATATCAAACTCAAACCAGAACAAAGCTGTGGATGTCACTAAGTTAACGACTGGAACTGTTCATCCTGGGATGGGTTGGATGGGATTGTCTGAAATCTTTGTTTAGGTCTGAGTGTATTTCTGTGAGATATGTTTTAGTTTTGCTGCAGAGATAAATCAGTGATGGAGTGTTTGTTTTTTGCTGCTAGCTGGAGTTGTGCACAGATTCCAACCTGATGCCTGTGAGTAGCAAAAGTCTAGGCTTAATGGTTTCAGGTCCCCGCTTAAAAATGTGAGATGATTTCAGTTGCTGTAAGCTAACTATCTTCTCTCTCCCTTTGAGGTGCCTAGGGTTGTTTTTCCAGTAATTTTGAAGCACCCGATTGCCTAATGCCATGAATATTGCAGTGAACAATGTGGAAGAAAAAGCTGTCCATTCCTGGTCGAGAATTTACTCTGCAGGACAAAAAGTGCTGGAGGAAGCCCTCCGAGTCTTCAATCCCATGTCGAAGGACCTTTCAGACACAGAAACCCAGCTGGTGGCCTTCATTCAGGGCCTCAAGGAAGAGGGCTTCCAGCCCACAATTCTGAGGAGCAAAGATGTGTATGGGTACAGCTCGTGCACAGCAGACACACCTAGCCAGGCAAAAGGGAGCACGCCGCACAGCTGTGCTGCTGCCACCACCTCCAGCCCCCCTAAGACTCCAGCTAGAAGCACTGCAGCCATGGCGAGGGCATCTGCTTCCCCCACCAGCATTTCTGTGAACTCTTCGAGAGTCTCCCCGCCAGTCTCTAAAGGTGATTCCACAAATCTGCTGCTGAACTCCTTTAAGCAGACCAGGTCGGGGAAGTCCAAGGCCCCAGCAGTGGGCTTTCCTGCAAGCATGTATCCTGATGTGTGTCCGGCAGTGAGGCTCTCTGTGGTTCTGGAAGCTCTGGTGCCACTGAAAACCCCCACATCCTGTTTGAAATCCAAGTACGGACGTGGGCCTCTTGGGGTATCACCCTCGGACCTTAAACTCCTTAAGGTTTCAAGCCAGACAAGGCAATTTTCTTCAGGCAAGACCACTAAAATAAGAGAAGGCAGGCGATGTAAGCGTGTGGGAAAGAAAGCACCGGATTCTGCCACCCTCGCTTTAAATCTTCTGAAGGGACTAAAGGGTGGAGTGCTGCAGGAGAGCAATGCTTGCAAAGCCTCAGGAGTCCTGAACGGAAGAATTGCAGGCAGCTCCTCCCAAGGCTGCACCACAGCACCGCAGTCCAAGGCCTTGAAAATCAAAGCTAAGGAAGCTCCGGTGGGGAAAGCGGAGTGGAAAGATAACAGCACTTACCAGGAGACTGTTGGGAAGAAGAGGAAAAGAGTTGCAGAGGCGAGAGATGCGCCGCAGAGAAAAAAATCAAAATCCATTCCTGTCCAAAATAAGACTCGACGAGCTCGGAGCACTTTGAACCTGCTGAAATTTTGGGCCATCAAGGTGGGCAACTCTTCTTCCGACGATGAAGTGAGAAGAAGAGCACAGAAGATTCTTAGAGTCAACCTGTCCCCTGTGATCCGAATTCAGCCCTTGTCCCACTCTCACAGCGTCCCCTGAGTTTCTTCACTTGGTCACTTTTTGTAAGTAAATATGATCCTGGCACCGGAGCGTGGTGAAGTTTGAGAGCAACTTTGGATTTCTGGTGCTTGGTGACTGTACATCGACTAACCTGCAGACGGAGCAGCCTGCTCTTGTGCTGCTTCTGGCTGTCCACCACCACCACTGTGCAGAACTGGCTGCACGAGTACAGAACCGTGTTTAGGAATACGGGATGGTGCCTTTGGCCCACCGTGAGCCAAGCAGGTCAGAGCGCCCGCCTTCTCTGGTCTCTCTTCTAAATGTGGCAGGCTGTGCTCTCACTGCAGGGTCAGAACACATGACTTTCTCATGACATGGATGCACTGTGATATTGCTCTTTTTCAAGCTGTACATTTACTGGTTTTATTTTGATCAAATTTTATAACTTTATATATCCATATATGTGCATATAGCCCAGGAACTGTGGGAAGATGCACTTCCTCCATCCCTCTGGGATTGGGTTCGATAGCTTTTGTTCCCCCTTCCTGTCAGCCAGTCTTTTGTTGAAGGTGCTGGGATTTCGTTGTGTTTCAGTGTTGTGGCAGTCTGATCTGGGTGCTCTTGGAACAGCTCAGAAGCAGGCAGAGTTATAACCACTTGAAAATGCCAAGCAGTCTGGAGAATTACCAGCTGGTAGTTGGTACTGTCGTACCTTTTTTATCCTCGAGATGATACTTTTGGTATTACCTCTGCCTGAAAGTGGGGGAGTGCTACTGCGCTGTCGCTTGCAATTTTGCTGGATGTTTCTGGGTGCTTCCTCTATTAATTGTAACAGGAGCTCTGAACTCATCTAGAGGGTTTGCCTCCAAAGAGCAATCCTACTGGAGCCCACTGTTGTTCCCCCCTCTCGTACCTCTGTTGCAAAGGTAGAAAATGAGCCGTGACTGTTACAGCCTTAGGGCTGGAGTTGCTGATCGGAGTTGCTTGAAGTGCCCTGCCCATGATGTAGCTACCGTTGCTGGACACGTCAGGAGCAGGTTCTAGGTGTTGGTAGAGAAGATGCCCGCTGAGTCTGAATGTATTAGATAAAGCTCACCTGTCTCAGAGTTCAGTGGCATCTGTGAGCCTGAATCACTGAAGAGATGGATTATTGAAAGGTATATACCAGCACTTACGTGTGGAGAGTTTGTGGGGATGTCTGTCAGTTTGTGGGGATGAAGCAATAGGAGGGGAGAATCACTGCATAATGATGGATAGCAGCTTTGCCAACCTCTGGGATGTTGGGAGAAGGTATGAGGCAGGCGTGACAGCTCAGCAAAGGCTCTGCTGGTCCCCAGGAGCACCACGTGCCACTGCAGCGGGCTGTGCTGCTGCCTGTGCCGGGGCAGGCTTGGTTCGAAGCTGAGTGAGCAGCACACAGCAGCTGTAGGGACGGCACACGGGCATGTACACATGGCTGTGATGGGATGTCAGTGGGGTATGGCAGTCTGGCAGCCCGGGGAGAGGCAGTAGTGCCTGGCTGTTTGCCGTGCTGCGTTCAGGTCTCTGCAGCAGCAGGCTGGTAATCCACTCATTCTCTCACCAGCTCAAAATACTTTGTCTGACCTAGTAATCTCTGGGGACATTGGTGGAAGGGATGAGCTCTCCAGGGAAGCCACAGCTTCTTACGTGTCAGCTCTTCTCTAGCACCAGTCTGGATTTCAGTGCTTAATAAAAGGGGTTGGTGTCTGATCGCCAGCTCAGAGAGCAAAACTGAGGTGGGGAGAGGAGAAAGGAGTTTCACTAGGGAGTGAGAGGGCAGAGGAGCTGGTGTTCTGGGGCACAGCTCGGGCTCAGCTCTCACCCTCGGGAGATAATGGCTGGCCCTGCATCACACGCTCTGCTTCCTGGGCAGTTTGACTGTGTGCAGCTGACCTGCTGTCAGACATCATAACTTGCAGTGTTCAGGACTGACCTGTGAATGCCGCTGGTTGGCTGCAGAGCAGGAGGAATGTTTTCTTCTCCTGTGCCCTGGCAGAGAATCCCCTTTCCTGACATGTTCTGGATGAACAAGAACCCTCCATCACTGCTAACTGGCCAGAAATTACTTTGTCCCTTTTGTTCCCACCCCTTCAGACCTTTCTCATTCCCACGCTCTCAAATGCCAGGTCTCAAAGTCCTGTGCTGGAGTTTCTCTTTCTGGCAGTGTCCCAGGGAGGGCTCTGTGGTATCGCTGCTCTCGTGGCTCCTCTGTTCCCAGCCCCATATAAGGGCACCAAGAGCTGTCCTGGAGCTTCTTTGTGCAGCACGAGACCTCCCAGCAGTGTGCCTGGGTTCCACTGGGAAAAGCAGTTGCTCATCCACAGGGCTGAATTTAGGGTGACATTGTTTTTCCTCCAGTGTGAGCAGGAAGCTGAGCACCTGAAGCCAGCTGTCTGTTGCATCCCTTGCTTTCCTTCTGTTTTTTGCTGCACTGCTCTCTGCTTCCCTGCTCTTCTGTCACCTCTTATTTCATGCTTTGAGTCTGTGCCAGCTGAGGACTTGCCTTGTGCTGCGTTGCACATTGTGCAGAGCACAGTGCCTCAGCTCCACCTTTCCAGGCACTGTGCTGGATAGAGATGTTATCTTGCCCAGCATCCTTCCCCGGCCACCAGTGCGAGCTCTGCTCTGCTAGAAATGCTTTGTGCTAGGGCTGCATCACAGAATCCTGCAGGAACGGGAGCACCCTGTAATGCTGTGCTCAGGGACCTGCAGGTGGTCAGTCCTGCCTCTGTCAGCATTCCTGTGGCACAGAGCAGCAGGCCTTGAGCTTGCAGGGCCGTGCTGGAGCTCTCAGGCTTGCTTTGCGTTTGCTGAATTCACATTGTTAACACCGGGTCTCTGCCATCCTGACGTCTCCTTTTCCCCATCACAGATGAGTTTGGAACCTGGCTGGAAGAATGGCAGCTCATTTTTCATGGAGGGGCTTTGTGGCCTCTGGTGCCAGTGTCAGCCAGTGCAGCCTCGCTGTGACGCCCTGGCAGAGGCGGCGTTGCCTGCAGGCTCTCCACAGCCCGTCTGTGCTTGGTTCTGCCATCCTTTGTCTCACGCTGTTCTCACGGCTGCCTGGAGCTCCGGGAAGGTCGGGGGATATCAAACCCTTGGCCCTACCAGAGATCTCCTGAGGTCACTTCCACCCTGTTTGTTCAGTGACAGTGTTGGATCGTATGCCTTCCAGGGACTTGCAGCAGCGCTGGCCGCGCAGCGTGTGGAAAACACGTTGCCTGCAGTGTCCTGGTCTCTCCTGACATGCCGTATGCAGGTTGCTCAGACCTGCTTCTGTATTAGTCTCTTTGAATTCATCCAAGTGCCTAACCTGGCCTGTGCTGTTCCTGGGCACCGTGACAGCCAAGGGCTGTGGAGACTCTCTGAGGAATGCTTTTACTGTGTGGATTTCTGCCACTGTCACTTCTAGTAACAATTCAGGCAGCGGTCAAAGGGCTGTTCTTCAGACTGAGTTTGTGGAAATCATTTTTCTTTTATTCAGCTGCCAAGAAGCAAGAGTTTATGCTTCGCTTCCACCAGACGAGGTCTGTGAGCTTCCTGCATGCTTCAGATGTCTGTCAGTGAGGTCCCTGGGGAGAGCGGCTTGTACAGCGGGGAGCACACATCAGACACCAGGCTGAAATCACAGTGTTAATTGCTAGAAATGTTTTAAAGCTCGTGTGCGCTGTGATCAGATTTCACCTTCTGCTGCTGCTTTCAACTGGAGAAGTTTCTCCTTGGCCTTTTTCCTGCAAGCCATGTAGCGTGGCACTGCTGCTTCCAAACTGTTTGCTTTCCCCCCAAGTGCCAGCTGCAGTAGTGTCCTTGTACAGAATTTTGTAAGCACTTTTCTGTGAGATAAGGGATTATTATTACAGAACTCCTGTTTTGTAGCCCACTGGTGGTGTTTTAGCATGGAGAGCTGTGCTTGGGAGTCCTTAGAGCTGCACTGGGTTGGATGGGGATGGCCCTTTGCCTTGTCAGCTGTGCAGGCTGGGACCATCTGAGGACAGAGCTCCTGAGCTGTGTGTGTGGCAGTGCTGATGGCTGTCAGCCATGGCTGAGCATCTGTGGATGTGACGTTCTTGTGCTGTGCTGCCTGCAGAGCAGTAGTGCTGAGGTTGGACCCCTCAACTTGCCTGGGAAGGCAGAGGATCCCTTAGGCAGAAGCAGAAGCTGGGATTTGGGGAAAACAAAGATCCAGCAGTGCCTGGCCAGCCAGCTTCTGCTGCCAGAAGAGATCTTCAGGGCAAGGGAGCCGCGCGTGCAGTGTCCCCAAAGCAGAGCTTCCACTTACCAGCCAGTAGCATGATGCTGGGCACAGGAGCTGTGGTTCTGCAGGACCTTGTGGGGGTGAAACCAGCACTCATCCTTGTCCTCCATGAGCTGCTGAGCTGTGGGGCCACAAGGAAGGCACAGCTGCGCCACAAGTTCCGCTGGCGCCTATTGCCTGCCGCCCTCTGGAAGAACTGGGGGGGAGAGTGAGCATCTGAAATGACTTCCCCCCGTGGGGATGATTAGGCCTTGCCCCCAGGGAGTCCCTTAAAGGCCTTATTATCCTCTGGGACTCTCTCCTTGTCTTAATTAGCCCTTCTGGTTCCTGTTGCAGTTTGGTGATTCCCACGGACAGTGAGGCACGTGGTGCTGCTGTAAAAGTGGGTGCTGCAGAGCTACTGCCAAAACCTGTCATTCCCAGGGCACAGCCTGCAAAGCAGGGCATTGAGAGCGTGCCCCCATCCCCATCAAGGCCTGGGACGGGATGAAGTCAGGGAAGACACTCTGTGTGGTGTGTAGTGACATTCCCTCCTTGCGGTTCCCAGTGCAGCATTGCTGGGAAACATTGCTCCTGGAGCAGGGCACGGCAGGGATGCGGGGGTCTGTCTCAGCGCAGCCTGGCTGCAGCAGCTCCTTCTCCAGCCATCACCTCTGAGAGAACCACCTCCACAGCTCAGCACGACCACCCTGCCCTGGCCAGGACTGGTGCCACCAGCGCAGCCACCAACGGTCCCCAACATTTGGGAACCCCAAGTGACACTGGGAGCAGCGATGTGCCGTGCCCAGGCTGCTGGTGCCGCTGCCTCGTCCCCATGGCTGGGCACACAACAAACTTTTGTATGGTGAATTCACAACAACCGACCATCTTGTTCTCGAGTGAACCTTATACTGTTTCATTTGTTTGTGTAGAATGTTTCTGAAGGTATATTTAATGTTTAATATGAGGCTGGGCTGTTCCACACTCAGTGTTGTATATTTTGGAATGGCATTGTTTAGTGAAAAGACAGCGTTAGTATTATTCCACTCTTAGGAGGGAACGGGACAAAAAAACAGACTGTCTTTTTTCTTAAATGAAATGAACTTTTGTTATGAAGTCCTAGCAGTTGTCCAGCCCTTCAGTAAATGGTGCTCAGAACCACTCAGCGTGTCCGGCTCTTCTTTAGTCCCTGCCAGACGGTGCTGCAGCTCCGAGCCCGTGGGGATGCTGCAGGGTGACTGTGCTGTGCCTGCAGTGTGCCACCGCTGCTCTGTTCCACTCAGGCACACCCGTGCACCCCGGTGAGCTGTGGGGTCACCCAGCTGCTATGAAGGAATGCCTGGCTCAGGATGGGAGATGCTCCAGACGAGTAGCACTGGTGCCATGCTGGTACAACTGGCACAAATCTGCATTCCAGGTTAGTTCCTGGGTCGGCGCTGCGCTGTTGGCGCTCCGCCAGGCCCCGCTTGCCTGCCCCCCTCCCTCTTCCCTCGGGATCCCTTTCTGCTGGCTAATTCAACAGCAATGCCATTGTTTGCTGCTGTGTGATCTGGCTCCGTTTGTCCTGCCGGGCCATCGGTGCGCTGACCTGGCACTAACAGTGGTGGGACTGCGGCCCCAGCTGAGCGCCTGCTCCTCCCGGTGCACCAGGAACAGCTGGGAACTGCCCCAGAGCGGCGAGCTGCAGCACCCTGGTGAGTCAGCGCCTGTGGCATGCAGGGTGCCCGAGCAAAGTCCTCAGGCAGGAAAGAGGTTAAGCAGCTCTGCTTGCTGAGGATGTTCAGGGAAGCGTCAGCCGCCCGCTGGGCGCACTGAAGTTGGTCCAGCAGGGCTGGCCAGGCGTGGGAGGCTGCTCTGCACACCAGCTGCGTGCTGCGGGAGTGGAGCTGAGCTCACTGCCCCCACCTGTGTCATCCGCCAGGCTCAAGCTGCTCTGGGTGGGAAGCCAGCAGCCTTTGGGAGGCAGGGGATGTGGCCTAGGAGCACTGCTGGCTGCTCAGATCCTCAGAAGGATCTGAGGATTCCTCCCTCTTGCTTTTCCAAGGCCAGAGATCCTATTACAGCCACCTTTATCGGGCCACTGGCGATCTCCCCAGAGCAAATAAGATGTGCTTGGCAAGATCCTGTCAGACTTGCTGGCCCGTGCTAATGGCTCTTTATCAGCTCATCTCCTCCCAGCTCTCCCATTACCTCACCAGAGCCAAGGTCGGTGCCCGGTCACTGCCGCGGGAGCCTTGCTGAGCACGGCCCTTCCCTTCCTCTGGGCTTCCCCTGCACAGTGTCTGGCCACCGAGCTGCACATCCACCCTGCCCTGAGCCCTGGCATCCCTCGCCCAGGGGATGAGCAGCACTGGGACACGCTGAGTGCTGCCGGGCCCTGGGGGCTGCGTTACCTTCCTGCCTCCCTGCTCCGCGGCATGCAGCCAGAGCACGGCCTTGGTGCAAGCACGCGGGTCCTCTTCCTTCCTTCAGCCTTGGCTAATAAAAGGCACCATGTGACAGTGAGCACTTTGTTGGGCTCCAGCATTCTCGGGGATCCCAGGCAGCGCCGGCGGGCACGGGGTGAGTGTGGCCTCTTAGGGCACGGCAGCACCTGCGGAGCAGGGTTTGTGGTGCAGGGAGGCGTGGGGAAGCGTGCCGCCCCAGGGCGCGCGTTGTGCTCCTGGAGACGCGCCCTGTGTAGGCACGGGGTGCCCACGGGCCGCACGGCGACTCGCAGCCATGGCGTGCGCTGACGGTGCCACGCGACCGGCCGTGGCTGTGCCGTGCGGGGCAACCACCGCCTGGCACCCGGCCTGCGCCTCACCTTGCCGCACCTCGGCGCAGGCAGGGCCCTCCCTCCCTGGCACGGCACACGGAGGAGGAGACAGCCGCTGGCCGCCCTCCTCCAGGAACGAGCGGCCGAGCGCAGCGGGGCCGTGCCGGCTCAGCTCGTGGCCCCCGGAGGGCACGGCCACCTGCCCGGCCCGCCGGCCCCACGTGCGCAGGTAGGAGCGGCTGCAGGGCCCCGGGGCGCGGCGTGGCCTTACGGCTGGGCGCGGGCAGCCAGCACGGCACAGCGTGTGAGGAACGGGGCCGGGGTCCTCGTGAGGAGGGGCTGCATCCTCCCACGGCCACCGGGTGCTCCCCAGGGCGGGTGCGGGTCGGACTTTGCCCGGCGAGCCCCGTGTGTGCCTGGAGGGCCGCGTGCCTGCCGACACCCAGCACGGCCCCAGTGCTGAGCCCGGGCGGTGCCGCGCGGCATCCCCAGGCGGGGAGGTCACGGGGCCTTGGCTTGGCCCCATGGAGGATGAGCCGGCGGCCTCTCGAGGCGTCTTTGTTGGCACCGGGGCGTGCCTGGGCTGCCGACGCCTGGCTGGGCCGCATTGCCAGGCCTGGCCCCACAGCCCCACGGGCGGGCGGCGAGGGCCTCCAGGCAGAAGGAATCGGCAGTGACATTCCCGTAGCCTGGAGACCGCCGTCCCATTCAGTGGGCAGCGCATTTGAATAAGAATCGTGTGTGTCTGTGTGAGTGCGGGGGGGCCGGACGGCCGCCCGCTTTCCCATCGCCTCCCATCGCCCCGCTCAGTTCTGCACGCCTGGACTGGGGCGGTGGGCCCTCACCTCCGGCCTCGCACATCGCTGCACTACCCAGGTACTGCCGGGCCGGGGTCGGGGCTGGGGAAGCGCTCGGTGTTGCCTCTCCAGCCCATTGGCACTGCGCTGAGCGGGACGGGCGCCGGGCAGAGCGCTGGTGTCTGGCTGGGATGGGCCCCGGGCGGCTGCATGCGGGGACAGGAAGGCTGTGCTGGGGCGGCGTGGAGTCAGGCTTTGATCCGGTGATTGCAAGGTTGGAAGGAGGCGGTGACGGCTGAGAAGAGAGCGCAACAGGAGCCTAAATTTAACAGCAGGACCCCGGCCAGCTGCAGGACGTCCTTGCCTGGCCTGCTCCAGCCCTGCTGACTCTTGTCCCCAGGTGTCCTGGTCCAGTGCTTGGACCCAATGGGACAGTAGTACCAGTGCTGGACACGGAGGCAGGGATGGGTGCTCTCTGGCTGCAGGATGGGGTGTGGGGATGCAGCCATGGGGCTGGGGACATGGTTGAGAGACGGGTGATGCGTGTGTGGGGCTGCGAGAGGCCCAGGCAGTGCTGCCCCATGCTGCAGTCCCATCTCTGTGCCCCACAGGTAGGGCCCGTGGCTGCCCATGGATGTCCTGGTCCTCGCTCTCCTCCTGGGTAAGTGCTGCTCCCACAGTTCCCGGGGCTGCAGTGGCCCCAGGGCCACTGCCCTGTGCAGGAGCTGTGGGTCGCAGGGCCATATTAATGCGGTGAGGGCCTGGGCACTGCAAATCCCAGCAAGGAATTTGGGCTGCATTGAGCCCTGCAGGATTAGCAAGCACCTGACCTGGCTCCCAGCTCCCCCTGGCACCACTCTATGAGACGAGTGCTTGCAACACCCACACTCTCCCCCTCCCCATCCCTTCCTGCCAGCAGCCTGCAGCCCAGCGTCCCACTTGCTGGTGCTGCCCTCCCGGCCCTCACCCTTCCCCCCGGTCATGAGGCCACAGCCACACTGCCAGCATCTTTCCGGGTCACGGAGCTTTGTGCTGCATCAGTGGGTCAGGATGTGGGGATGGGGCAGGATGGGGGTAGGGTAGCACAGGGCTATGGGCTGTGGGTTTGTGGCACAGCCTTCCCAACCCCTGCGCTCTGTGCAGCGGGGGTGCCAGCAGCAGGGGGCTGGGAGGAGCCAGATCCATCCCAGGGCTGTGCCCGTGGCAGCTGCTACCCGGCCACCGGCAACCTGCTGGTGGGGAGAGCTCGGCAGCTCAGCGCCTCGTCCACCTGCGGGCTGCAGGGGCCCCAGGAGTACTGCATCGTCAGCCATCTCCAGGTGAGCCTATGGCACGGCACAGCACAGCACAGCACGGCAAAGTGTGCCGGTGCAGCCCCAGAGTGATTGATGCTCCCCGTTCAGGACTCTGAGAAATGCTTCACCTGTGACTCACGAAACCCGGCCCTGCGTGAGAGCCACCGCATTGAGAACGTCATCTACCTGCACGGCCCCCACAGCGAGAGGAGCTGGTGGCAGTCGGAGAATGGTGAGAGCATGGCCACGCCATGCGTGTGTCCCCACGTGGGCTGCGTGCCTCAGCCAAGACCATCCGTCCCTGCAGGCGTGGAGCACGTCAGCATCCAGCTGGACCTGGAAGGCGAGTTCCACTTCACACACCTCATCATGAAGTTCAAGGTGGGTGCATGGGGCACAGTGGGATGGTCCCCATGACCCGCCGGTCCCTATCCCACCGTGTGCCCCCATCTGACTGTGTGCCCCGCAGACCTTCCGCCCCGCAGCCATGCTGGTGGAGCGCTCGGCCGACTTTGGCCGCAGCTGGAAGACGTACCACTACTTCGCCTACAACTGCTCCAAGCTCTTCCCCAGCATCCCCACACATCCCTCGGGGCACATAGGCGAGGTGCTGTGTGAGCAGCGCTACTCTGAGATCGAGCCCTCCAGCCACGGCGAGGTGCGTACGGCTGGGTGGTGTGGGGAGATGGGGCTGGGGAATGCGCTGACATGCTACATCCCACCTCCAGGTCATCTTCAAGGTGCTGGATCCCTCCATCCCAGTGGTGGACCCGTACAGTCCCAGCATCCAGGGTGAGTATCCATAGGGATGGGATGCGGTGCTCTGGGGCAGCGCAGTGAGCACTGATGATGCCACCTGTGCTACCCAGAGCTGCTGCGTGTCACCAACCTGCGTGTGAACCTCACCAAGCTGCACACGCTGGGGGACAACCTGCTCGACTCACGGCAGGAAGTGCTGCACAAATACTACTATGCTGTGGATGAGCTGGTGATGCGTGGGAGCTGCTTCTGCCACGGCCACGCTGCTGAGTGTGCCACTGCACCTGGTGCTCCGCCATCTGTCCCTGGCATGGTGAGATGCGGCACGGAACGACGTGGCACAGGGTGACCGCCTGGGCTGATCCAGATGCTCTCCCCCAGATCCACGGGCGCTGTGTCTGCAAGCACCACACGCAGGGGCTGAACTGTGAGCGCTGCGAGGACTTCTACCACGAGCTGCCCTGGCGCCCGGCTGAGGGCTCCAGCACCAACGCCTGCCGCCGTGAGTGCCACGCGCCCACAGCCGGCGCGGTGTGGGGCCATGGGGTCCTGCAGCGCATGCTGGGGTTTGGGGTCCTGCATGTGGCGGGTCGGGTACCAGGGGTGCCGTCCTGGCAGGGTGCGACTGCAACGAGCACTCACGGCGCTGCCACTTCGACATGGCCGTGTTCCTGGCCACCGGGAACACCAGCGGGGCCGTGTGCGATGGCTGCCAGCACAACACCATGGGGCGCCGCTGCCATCTCTGCAAGCCCTTCTACTACCGGCACCCGCGCTCCGATATCCGCGCTCCCACTGCCTGCATCCGTGAGTGCCCCCAGCTCTGTTGCCCCCAACCCCGTGTCCCCCACCGCCACCTGCCGCAGCTGCCATGATGTCCCCACAGCGTGTGACTGCGACCCTGCGGGATCGCTGGATGGCGGTGCCTGCGATGCACACACGGACGTGGCGCTGGGCATGATCGCGGGGCAGTGCCGCTGCAAGGAGAACGTGGCCGGGCCACGCTGCGACCGCTGCCGGCACGGAGCCTACGGCCTCAGCCAGGGAGACCCTCAGGGCTGCCAGCGTGAGCTGGGGCTGGGGTGGGCGTGGGCTGTGGGGATGGAGGAATGGGGATGGAAAGGGGGGAACATGGGCGAAGGAGTGTGGATGAAAAGATGGGATGAAGGAATGGAGATGGGGGTGGAGGAATAGGGATGGAAGGATGGGGATGAAGGAATGAGAATACGGAAAGAGGGATGGGGATGGAGGGATAAAAATGAAGGGATAGGTTTGGGAAAGGAGATGGAGGGCAGAGCTGAAGGGATGAAGGATGGAGAAGATGGGGATGGGGATGGAGGTGGAGGAATGGGAATGGAGATACAGGGATAGGGAGGGGAGTAGAGGAGTGTGAATGAGAATAGAAGAGTGGGGATGGGGAATGAAGGAAGGGGTATAGAAGGCCTGAGTTGGAGGGTTGAGGCCAGAGATGGAAGTGTAGAGATGGATGGGTTAGGGATGAAGCAATGTAGGAAGAGTGGGGATTGAAGAAGAATGGAAATGAACAGATGAGGTGGGGAGATATGGATGAAGGGACAAGGGATGCAGGGATGGGGATGGAAGAATTAGGCTGGAGGGCAGGGATGGAAGGGTGGAGCTGGATGAGTAGGTGATGAAGCAATGGGAGGGGATGATGGAGATGGAAGTAGGATTGGCATGGAGGGTTGGAGATGGAAAGAGGGAGGGAGGGTATAGAAAGGTGGGATGAGCAACAGTGCATGGGGGACTCAGGGCCGTGGGGCAAGGAGGGAGGGCTGTGGAGCTGCTGTTTGAACATCACAGGGTGCACTGGGGGCTGTGGTGGGTGGCAGTGCTGTGTGGCAGCCCATCATGTGTGTGTTTGTGCACGGGGCAGCGTGCCGGTGTGACCCACGGGGCACGGTGGCGGGCAGCTCCCCCTGTGACCCCATCAGCGGGGACTGCTACTGCAAGCGCTTCGTGGCCGGGCGCTCCTGCAGCCAGTGCGTGGTGAGTGCCCCAGCTCCACACTGTGCTCCATTGCCTTGGCTCTCCCCAGCCCCATGGCATTCCCCAGGGCTGGGCTGGCCCCACACCTACTCCCTGTCTCTCCCATCTCACTGCAGCCTGAATTCTGGGGCCTGAGCTATGATGTAGGGGGCTGCCGGCCCTGCTCCTGTGACTTCGGGGGAGCTTACAGCAACCGGTGAGGCCCCACAGTACTGCCCAGCCGGGCACGGGGACACAGGGATGGGTGTGGGGACAGGGTGGAAGTGGTGGGACCACTGCTGGAGGGATGGGGACAGGGCTTCACAGTGGAGACAGAGTGGTGTGGAAGGAGGGATCTCTGTGCCTGAAGGTGGAGGGCTGGGGACAGGAAGGGATGGGTGAGGCACGGTCAGACAGAAAGATGGACGAGGGCCATTCCCCAGGTGCTCCATGGAGGACGGGGCCTGTCCCTGCCGCCCCCACCTCATGGGCCGGCAGTGTGACCAGGTGCAGCCCGGCTTCTTCTGCGCACCCCTTGACCACTACACCTACGAGGCTGAGCAAGCCGTGGGCCGCGGGCCCAGCCATCCCCAGCTCCCAGTGAGTGTCCCCATCTGGGCTTCCACGGTGCCCCATACCTTGTGTATGGCCATCCCCGTGCTCCATGCATGGCTATCTCCACGCATGGCCATCCCCATGCTCCACGCGTCACCGTCCCCATGCATGGCCATCCCCATCCCTGCAGGGCGCCGTGCGGGCAGAGGTGCCCCAGGACTGCCCCCAGCACCGCAGTGGGGACCCAGCGGGGCGGAAAGCACGTGCTCGGCCCCAGCGCAGCCCTCCCCGCTCCCCCCAGCCCCGCGCAGCCCCACGCCACAGCCTCCAGCAGCCCCCCAAGGTGAGCCCTGGGTTGAGGAGGGGGCACGGCGGGGCACAGCCTTGGGCTGGGGCTGAGCCATGCGGTGCCATGCCCAGCCCGACGTGGAGCCGGTGCTGCGAGATGGGGACGGGCGCATGGTGACGTGGACTGGACTGGGGTTTGCCCGTGTGCGGGATGGAGCCGGGCTGACATTCCATGTAGACAACGTGCCCTACCCCATGGAGTACGAGCTGCTGCTGCGTTATGAGCCTGAGGTGAGTGGCTGCAGGATGGCCCCAGTGTGCACCGTGTGGCACCGCCGGTGCTGATGGCCTCGCATCCCATTGCAGTCAGCCGAGGACTGGGAGGCTGTGGTGAGCATCAGCTCCCGGGCGCTGCCCACCGGACCACGCTGTGGGAACCTGCTGCCCTCAGAGCAGATGTACCACGAAGGCCTGCCCCACAGCCAGAGGTGGGATGGGGTGGGGGTGGATTGGATAAGGATGGAGATGGAGACAGGGAAAGGGTGGGATGGGATGCGAGGGAATGGGATAGGTGTGGAAAGAAGATGGAGATGGGGATGGGGTAGGATGGGTAGAGAGAGCAGGTTGAGGATATGGATGGGGATGGGAATGAGGATAGGGATGGGGTGTAGACAGATTGGGCTTGAGAATGGGCATGAGTTTGGGGATAGAGATGGGAATGAGACTGGCATAGAGATGAGAATGGGAATGCAGACAGGATAAAGGTGGAAATGTGCATGAGAGGATGTGGTGGGATGAAATAAAGAGAGAGAATAAAGATGGAACTGGGAATGGGGTGGGATAGGATAGGGATGAGGATGAAAGTAGGATCAGGACAGGGAGATGGACAACACTACCATACTTCTAGAATTGAGGGATGGCATAGGATGTGGTTGGTATGGGAAGGGGGATAGTCCTACCACACAGGTCAGGGAATCAGGGTGATGAACGTGGCCAGGTCCTGCTACATTCTTCTGGCCATCTCTCTGTGACCCGATGCCGTCCTTTCTGCAGGTATGTGCTGCTGTCCCAGCCCTTCTGCTTCGAGCCCAGTACCCCATACGAAGTAACTGTGCGGCTGCAGAGAGCCAGCGTCACCCAGCGCCACCCCAGTGCCTTCATCCTCATCGACTCAGTAAGGGGATCCCAACACACCCCGGTGGGGAGATGGGCAGGGGTGGGCGAACCACACATAGAGTGGTGGACAGAGATGGGACAGGGTGGAGAGGGAGATGAATGGGGTATAGATGGAGGCGGCAATGGAACTGGTGTTGCAGCTGGGTCTGGAGCAGAGAATGAGGATGGAGATGTCGACGGGATGGGGCCACGCATGGGGACATCGGTGGGGCTGGGGATGTTGATGGAGTTGGGACTGGTCCCAGGACAGCCCCACCACCTCCCCCTGCCCCACAGCTGGTGCTGCTGCCACGTGTGCCAGAGCTGCCGGGCTTCCACGGGGCAGCAGTGGAAGCGGTGCAGCGGCTGGAGGAGCTGGAGCGCTACCGATGCCTGGAGGCTTTCCATATGGCCCCACCGCACACCCTGGCTGAAGCCTGCGCCCGCCTCGTCTGCAGCGTCTCAGCCGTGCTGCACGATGGAGCTCTGCGTGAGTCGGGGGCCGCAGGGATGAGGGGCCATGAGTGGGTGGGTGAGTGGGCTATGATAGAGCCATGCTCGGCACAGCAAGGCCGGATAGTAGCTGGTGTGGGAGAGGCCAGGGGTTGGTGGCAGTGTGTGGCATGGCATTCCCATCCCCAGCTACAACCCTGCTGCCCCACAGCCTGCCAGTGTGACCCACAAGGCTCCCGCAGCAGCGTGTGCCAGGTGCTGTCAGGGCAGTGTGAGTGCAAGCCCCACGTCCTCGGCCGACGCTGTGACCGCTGCGCACCCGGCAGCTACGGCTTTGGACCCCTGGGGTGCAGCCGTGAGTAACAGGGTCTGCTGGTGTGTCAGGCATGCCAGGATGGGACCCCCCTGTCTGCGTGTCTGTGTGTCTGTCTGTCTGTCCATCCCACTGGGATGATTATTCTCTGGCTTGAGGTCACCCTGACGTGAGCTGTGCCATTCCACAGCCTGCGCCTGCTCCCCGGAGGGCTCTGTGTCGCAGCTGTGTGATGCGGGCAGTGGGCAGTGCCGCTGCCAGCCGGGCGTTATGGGCCGGCAGTGCGACCGCTGCCAGCCAGGACACTGGGGCTTCCCCAGCTGCCGGCCCTGCCAGTGCAACGGGCACGCCGAGGAGTGCGACCTGCGGACGGGCAGCTGCCTGCGCTGCCGAGACCACACCACCGGCCGGCACTGCGAGAGGTGAGCGTGCTTGGGTTCAGCACGGCATGGCACGGCATAGCATGATACTTACAGCACTGATGAGGTGGGGTAGGACGGGATGAATGGGATTGAACAGGTTTGGATTGTATGAGATGGGATGGGATGAGAAAAGATGAGATGGGATGGGATCGAGTGGGGTTAGAATAGATGGATGGGATGAGATAAGATGAGATGAGATGGTGTAGAGTACGGTAGGGTAGCTTGGGATGGGATAGGATGAGGATGGGATAAGAAAAGACGGGATGAGATGGAATAAAATGGGATGGTGGAGCTGGATGGGACAGGTTAGGATTAATGGGATGGGATGGGAGTTGACGAAATAGATGGGATGGACACCTGAGACCTCGCTCCTGCCCTTGCAGATGCCAAGATGGTTATTATGGAGACCCGGTGCTGGGCTCAGGGCAGCAGTGCCGCCCTTGTCCCTGCCCTGGCTACCCTGGCACACGGCACTACCACGGGAGCGCCTGCCATGCCGACGAGGAGACCCACCACATCGTGTGCCTCTGCGCGCCCGGATACACCGGTGAGAGGCAGACGGGCACCGTGCTGCAGGACCCCAGCAAGAGGGCTGAGATTCCATCAGCCACACCGCACGTCCCCACAGGGCCCCGCTGCGACCGCTGCTCCCCGGGCTACTTTGGGACGCCGGAGATGGAGGGAGGAGTGTGCCGGCCCTGCCAGTGCAACAACAACATCGACACCAGCGACCCGGGGGCCTGTGACCCGCACACAGGGCACTGCCGCCGCTGCCTGTACCACACTGCCGGGCCCCGCTGCGCCCAGTGCCAGCCCGGCTATTTCGGCAATGCCCTGCAGCGCAGCTGTCGCCGTGAGTTGGGCCGGGGGCTGTGCGAGGTCTTGGGGTGGCGTGAGGCTGAGCCCCCTGCCCCACATGGCTGCCCACCACCCGTAGGCTGCAGCTGTGACCCGCGGGGAACGCTGTCTGCCCACTGCACCGCTGGCACCTGCAGCTGTGACCGCGCTACGGGAGCCTGTGCCTGCAGAGCCAATGTGGTGGGCAGGAGCTGCGACCGCTGTGCACCCAACTTCTGGAACCTGGGGGGGACGGAGGGCTGCCAGCCTTGTGGATGCCATGCCATGCATGCCACGCACCCCGCTTGCGACGAGGTGAGCATCCAGTATGGGTCCTGCGTCCTCCGGGGGTGAGAATGAGTGGGCTGAGCACCTTGCTCTCGCTGCAGGTCACAGGGCAGTGCCACTGCCACCTCGGCTTTGGTGGCCGTGTCTGTTCCCAGTGCCAGGAGAATCACTGGGGAGACCCCGAGCTGCAGTGCCGAGGTGAGAGCTTTACCCACAGACTGGCAGTGGGGTGTATGGGGACATGGGAACCCTGAGAAAAGAGGGGTCTTGGGGATACAGGGTGCCGTTGGGACAAACGCTGTGCTTTGGGGTACATGGGGGCTCCTGGGAATATGGGAACCTGGGGGAAGGGGGAGTCTTGGGGACACAGGGGGTCCTGGGGACATAGAATGAGATTTTGGCTACCTGGGGATTCCTGGGAACATGGAGAGAATCCTGTGGATGTGAAGGACCTTGGGGACATAACAAGCTCATGAGGATGTGGTGGGACCCTGGTGATAGGGATGAACCATGTGCCACAGCATGATGCTGGGGACATGGGATAGGGACACAGTGAGTCTCCGGGTATGTGATGGGACCCAGGAGACACACTGCTACTCTGAGGACACAGAGGCCTCTGGAGAGTTCAGGCAGTGACAGTGCTCATCTCCACAGCCTGCGAATGTGAGCCACTGGGTGCTGAGAGCCCTCAGTGCGACCGAGCCAGTGGGCAGTGCCAGTGCCGGCCAGGCTTTGGGGGGCTGCGCTGCGACCGCTGCCAGCGGGGCTACCAGGCCGCCTTCCCTCGCTGCTCTCCATGCCACCCCTGCTTTGGGCACTGGGATGCAGTGCTGGGCAGCCTGCAGGATGGGCTGCAGCACCTTGGGGCACGGGTACGGGCACTGCATGAGGGAGGGTCTGCAGCCCCGCTCAGCCCCCGCCTGCGAGCACTGGAGGAGGCCCTGAAGCATGCAGAGCGGCTGCTGGGTGAGGGGAGCAGCCCTAGTAGCCCCCTCCTGCAGGAGCTGGCCGGGCAGCTGGATGGCAGCAGGCAAGTGCACACGGTGGGCTGGGGGGGCTTTAGGCATCCAGAGGTATTTGAGAGCTCTCTGCCCCATAGGACGGAGCTGGACAACTTCTGGAAGAGGCTTCAAGAGCTGGAGCAACACGTGGATCAGCTGGAGCAGGCTGATGTGCTGCACCACAGCCGGCTGGCCAGGCTGAGCCATGAGTTGGGTGGGCTCAACCAAACCACCTCCCACCTGCAAGCTGTCCTTGGCACCGTGACAACAGCAGGATTCAGGGGTAAGGGCATCCAGTGAGGGCTTCTGGGGGTATGGGGGCTGGGAGAGCCGTGCCCCAGTGCTGGATATGTAGCTGGGACTGGGAGAACTAATTCTGAGTGCTTGGTAGGACTCTGGGGTGTGGGAGGGTCCTAGGAACAGAGGGACCTCGGGAAAGTGGTGGGACTCCGAATATGGAGAGACAGTGGATACTTAGGAGATCCTGGGACATGGAGAGACACAAGGGATATGGCTGATCCTGGAGCCATAACAGGATGCTGGGGACATGGTGGGACTCGAGGGACACTCTGTACTCGCAGAGTCATACCAGAGCATCGTGGTGGCAGCACGGGACTCACGGCAGGCAGAGGTGGTGGCCAATGGCACGGCAGGTGAGCTGAATGCAGCACGGGCCACGCAGTGGGCAGCTGAGCAGGCCCTGCAGCAGCGGGGTGATGCGTTCCGCCGGAGCATGGCTGCACAGCGGAAATCCCTGCGGGAGACACAGAAACGGGCGTCAGGGCTCAGCGTGACTGGGATCAATGAGAAGGTGAGAGTGAGACGGGGGAAAAAGGGCTCGGGGTGATCATATCACAGGTGACACACGGGTTGCTTGGCTCTTGTGCCAATTGGGATGAGGGTCTGCCCATTCAAACTCCACCTTTTGGATCCCTGCAGATTTGCGGGGCTCCTGGAGACCGGAGCTGTGCAGAATCACTGTGTGGAGGAGCTCTGTGCCGGGACAGCGTGGGGATGAGGCACTGCGGGGGTGTGGGGTGCACAGGGGCCCTGCCCGTGTCAGCTCAAGCCCTGAGCAGTGCCCGCAATGCCTCACAGCAGCTGGAGGTGGCCCTGGGACAGCTGAGTGCTGTGACACAGAAGGTAGGGATGGCGTCCCCATGTGCTGGGTTCTCATGCGAGGCCCTTTGTGCCCACTTGAACATCACACCTGTGCCCACTCCTGGGTCAGTGCCGGCCCCTTGCACATCCCAACTGTAAGCCCCTTGGTGCCCCTTGGTTACACCCCAGATGCAGGAGGTTCAGGACCTGGCACGGGGTGCCCGCAGCCGTGCAGAGGAGGCGTTGGAACGCTCACAGGCTGCCCGCAGCCGCACAGAGAAAGCGACAGCACAGTTGCGGGACTTCATCCGCCGCATCAAAGCCTTCCTGTCGGGTAGGGCCAGCAGTGTGTGGGCACCAGGCATGGTGCTGGGCATGGAGCCCACCCTGAGCCCACCCCGCTCCGATGTCCTGCAGAGGAGGGTGCAGATCCAGGCAGCATCGAGCTGGTGGCGCGGCAGGTGCTGAACATCTCCCTGCCCAGCAGCCCTGCACACATCCAGGAGCTGCTGCAGGAGATGCAGGAGAGCATCAGCCAGCTGGATGGGGTGGACGCGGTGCTCAACGGCACGGCACAGGGGCTGGAGGCTGCACAGGGGCTGCTGGCACAGGGACAGGATGCCAGGTGAGTGGCGACAAGCTGGATGGGGAGGGCGACAGAGCCCTGAGCAGAGCTGGAGGTGTCTGCATCGCCACAGGGAGCGAGCAGAGGGCGTGAGGGACGAGCTGGCGGAGACGCAGCTCGCACTGCAGGTGGCACAGGCACAGGTGATGGCAGCTGGGAGCACCCTGCGGAGAGCCAAGGATGGCATCCGGGCTGCTGAGGGCAAAGTCAGGGAGGTGAGAGGTGATACTGGGGATGGGGACCCTAGCACACGCCTGGGCCCTGCGGGTAATGGAGTGGGCACACATGGGGAGCAAAGCCGATGCTATGGCGTGGTGTGGGCACGCCACGGGTACCCGATGGGCACACGGTGCCCGCCCACCGTCTGTGTCCTATGCACCCAGGCGGAGCGCAGGCTGCAGGCGCTGCAGGGGAAGGAATCACGGCTGCAGCGGCGGCTGCGGGAGCTGGCACAGCGCGTCACCGCCCTGCAGCAGCGCGGACGGGACGCCCGGCGCCTGGCACAGGATGCCAAGGATGGGGCGCAGCGTGCCACCGCCGCCTCGAGGACGCTCAGCCAGGTGAGCCCCGGCCTCGCAGCAGGCGGGGGGCGATGCGGGGAGCTCGGCCTCACCGTGCCGTGTGCCCCCAGGACCTGGCGCAGGTGACTCGGCGCTACGTGGTGCTCAAGGACCGGGTGAGCGGGATGGCAGGGATGGCCGGCGGGGCCCTGCAGCGCGTGACGCGGCTGACGGCCGAGGCCAGGGACCTGCTGGATAAAGCCAACAGCAGCAAGAAGCGGCTGGAAGGTAAGAGGCGGCGTGGGACAGGGGCCGCCCGCTCGGTGCCCGCAGCCCACCCTGCACCCCGTGCCTTCCCGCAGAGCTGGAGCAGCACTTCGGGGCCAACGAGCAGGCGATGGCGGCCAAGGCGACGCGGCTGCAGGCGCTGGAGCGGCAGGTGTCGGGGCTGCTGCAGGAGATCCGCGAGCGGGCCAACGCGTACGCCACCTGCTAGGAGTCCGACCCGCTCGGGACGCGGCCCCGCGCGGCGAGGAAGAAACCCGCGGGGTGTCTGTAGCGCCTGCAAATAAAGCGCTGAGCAGCGGCTGCCCGTGTCCGGCCTCTCACTGTCTCGCGTGGCCGAGTCCCGCGCGTCCCCCCGCGGTACCCCCGGCCTCCGGCGGGGCGGTGCTGGCCCTTCCCGGCCCGGCGTGGGCCGCCGTGCGAAGGGACCGCCCCGCGAGTTCCGCGCAGCCCCGAGCGCCGCCACAACTTTGCGGAGGGGCGGCGAGAGGGAACCCCCCCCTCGGCAACGCGCGCCTACCCACGCGAGACCGGAGCCCACGCGGCGGCACCCCGAGTCCCGCGCGCCGTCGCGATGCGCGGCCCCGCAGCCTTCCTCCCCCCGCTTCTCCTCCTCCTCCTCCTCTCCCTCCTCGTCCCGCTGCCGTCCGGTGAGTGCACGGCCCCCGCTCGCGGAACGCTCTCGGGTCGGGGTCCGGACCCGCGGGGCATTTCCGGGCTGATCGCGGAAGGGTCCCCGCTTCGGGGCCGTGCGGGACGGGGACGGAGCTCCGCGTGGGGTCCGGCCTCATCCACCCGCTGCCCACGCAGGGCCGGGAGGGGCCGCGTGGGCCGTTTCTTCTCCCGACGCCCCCCATGGCTGCGCCCGCGGCAGCTGCTATCCGGCCACCGGGGACCTGCTGGTGGGGAGAGCCTCGCGGCTCAGCGTCTCGTCCACCTGCGGGCTGCGGCGGCCCCAACCCTACTGCATCGTCAGCCACCTCCAGGTGAGACGGGGGATGAGAGACGGGGGGACGGGGACGTGGTGGGGTGGGGTGACCGTTGAGCCCCCGCCCGCAGGAGGAGAAGAAATGCTTCGTCTGTGACTCGCGGAGACCCTACGATGCCCGCAGCAATACCGACAGCCACCGCATCGAAAATGTGCTGACCACCTTTGCCCCCCGCCCCAAGAAGGCCTGGTGGCAGGCGGAGAACGGTGAGCAATCGAGCGTCCCTGGGGGGCTGCTCTTCCCGTCCTCCCACACTAAGGAAGCCGTGACTCAGCCCTGTGCTGCTGTGGCCAAGGCTGGAGTCACACGGGTGTCCCCCCCCAGGCGTGGAGCACGTCAGCATCCAGCTGGACTTGGAGGCTGAGTTCCACTTCACCCACCTCATCATGACCTTCAAGGTGAGCGCAGCAGGATGGCACAGACCCCATCATCCCGACTGCCATCCTGCCGCGTGTCCCAACCCTGCCGTGTGCCCCCACCGCTCCATGTGCCCCGCAGACCTTCCGCCCCGCAGCCATGCTGGTGGAGCGCTCGGCCGACTTTGGCCGCAGCTGGAAGACGTACCGCTACTTCGCCTACGACTGTGCTGCGTCCTTCCCCCACGTCCCCCGTGGGCCCCCGCGCCGCATTGACGATGTGATCTGTGAGTCGCGCTACTCTGACATCGAGCCCTCCACCGAGGGGGAGGTGAGGCTCCGACGGCACCGAGGGACACTTGGAGGATCCCGCTGTCCCTTCACCGCTCTCCTCCTTCCTGCAGGTGATCTACCGCGTGCTGGACCCCGCCATCCCCATCCGCGACCCCTACAGCCCCGCTATCCAGGGTGAGTCGCCCGCCCGTCTGCCGCCCTGCGGCTCTATTTTGGGTGCCACTATTTTGGCTGCTGTGTCCTCATGCTGAGCCCCACTGAGGGGCTGGATCTGGGAGTTTCCAGACCCATACAGCGGGGTGTGGATGAATGTGGCGCAGCATAGGATGCCAAGCAATGGGAGATGGGACCATGCCAGTGCCTGGTGCAGGGGCTGTAACCCCGCAGCATGGAGCTGGTGGTGGGCAGATGAACGGCACAGGATGCAGCGGGTTAACAGCTGAGGCTAAATTTAGGCTGGGAGCAGGAGGGGAGGAATCTGCGGGGCCCGGCGGCTGCTGCTGGGAAGCTGCTGTCCCTGGAGAGCCGTCCTGCTGGCCCCGTGTGCCATGCAGCACCGCCAGCACGGAGCAGTACATCCCCAGCCATGGTGCACCATGTGCGATGCGCTGCAGCTGGGCACAGTGTTCAGCAGGTACGGGTGAGCAGAGCCAAGCTGCCAACTTTCTATGCAGAGCTGCTGCGTGTCACCAACCTGCGGGTGAACCTCACCAAGCTGCACACGCTGGGGGACAACCTGCTGGACTCACGGCGGGAGATCCGCGAGAAGTACTACTATGCGCTGTATGAGATGGTGCTGCGTGGAAACTGCTTCTGCTACGGGCACGCCTCGGAGTGTGCGCCGCTCAGCGGGGCCACAGCCACTGTGAATGGCATGGTAGGTCCAGCCATAGCACAGACCCCTGTGCTGTACTGCATTGGGGTGACCGCAGCACCCAGTCCCACAGCTCCTCACCATGGCATCCCGGCAGGTGCACGGGCGCTGTGTCTGCAAGCACCACACGCAGGGGCTGAACTGTGAGCGCTGCGAGGACTTCTACCATGAGCTGCCCTGGCGCCCGGCTGAGGGCTCCAGCACCAACGCCTGCCGCCGTGAGTGCCACGCGCCCACAGCCGGCGCGGTGTGGGGCCATGGGGTCCTGCAGCGCATGCTGGGGTTTGGGGTCCTGCATGTGGCGGGTCGGGTACCAGGGGTGCCGTCCTGGCAGGGTGCGACTGCAACGAGCACTCACGGCGCTGCCACTTCGACATGGCCGTGTTCCTGGCCACCGGGAACACCAGCGGGGCCGTGTGCGATGGCTGCCAGCACAACACCATGGGGCGCCGCTGCCATCTCTGCAAGCCCTTCTATTACAAGGACCCCAGCAAGGACCTGCGGGATCCTGCCGTGTGCCGAGGTCGGTGCTGGGACATGGGGTGGCACAGGGCTGCATCCGGCCCCGGTGTTGTGGGGCTGGCACGAGGGCTTTGGTGCTGACCCTGCCTGTCCCCAGCCTGCAACTGCGACCCTGACGGCACCGTGGATGGAGGGCTGTGTGACGGCGCCGATGACCCGGAGCGGGGGCTGATCGCGGGGCAGTGCCGCTGCAAGGAGCACGTGCAGGGCCCTCGCTGCGACCGCTGCAAAGCCGGCTTCTTTGGGCTCAGTGCTGCCAACCCGCAGGGCTGCCAGCGTACGTATTGGGGCACGGGGTCACCCAGCGGTGTCGGGCACCACCACAGACCGCTGTCTGTGTGCAGGGTGTCGGTGTGACCCCCGTGGCACGGTGGCCGATGGCAGCCAGTGTGATCCTATCAGCGGTGACTGCCTCTGCAAGCGGCTGGTGACCGGGCGCAGCTGTGACCAGTGCCTGGTGAGTGGGACGTGCACGGTGCTCAGGGCTGTGGCACCACGGCTGGCCGCTCGCTGACCCCATTGCTCTCCACAGCCCGAGCACTGGGCTCTCAGCCACGATCTCCCTGGCTGCCGGCCTTGTGAGTGTGATGTGGGAGGTGCCCGCAACAACCGGTGAGTTTTGTGACAGCTCAGGGTGGAAGGGGCAATCCTTTAGCCCTGGGGGGCTGACGATGTGGTTGGGGTGCCAGGTGTGCTGCAGAAACAGGGCAGTGCCAGTGCCGCAGCCACATCGTGGGACGGCAATGTGAGCAGGTGGAGCCCGGCTTCTACCGCATCAACTTGGACCAATACACCTATGAAGCTGAGGATGCCCGGCTGCACAAGGTGAGGGACAGAGGTGTCCCTGGTGGGGCATGGGCTGAGCAGAGCACTGGGAGGGACATTTGCAGGGTCTCCAAGCCAGCTGGCACCAAGTGAGAGCAGTGAGGCTGAGATGCATGCTGACTGAGGCCCCTTTTGGGGTCCTCCTGCTCACCTCTGCCCCTTTCCCCAGGGCTCGGTGGTGGACCGTGAGCCTCACGCAGGTCACCCGGCCTCCTGGACAGGGTCAGGCTTTGCCCGCATGCAGGAGGGCGGCTGGGTAGAGTTCCATGTGAGCGACGTGCCCTTCTCCATGGAATACGATGTCATCATCCGCTATGAGCCCCAGGTGAGCCCCCTGATTGGGGTGTTGCACCTCCAGAAGTGGCATGCAGGACTTTTGGTCCAGTGATTTCTGCCTGTTCTTTGCATGCAGCACCCAGAGCCCTGGAAGGAGGTGAAGGTGCAGGTGCTGCGCCCCAGCCCTGTGTCTGCCAGCAGCCCATGTGGGAACACCATCCCGGCCGATGACCAGCTTTCCACCAGCCTCCTGTCTGGCACCCGGTGAGTGTCCCAGCAGGGCTCAGCTGAACAGGGCTGGCAGGAGGCATCCACTTGCCCTTGCTCTGCTTTGTCCCAGGTATGTGGTGCTGCCCCATCCCATCTGCCTGGAGCAGGGCGTCTCCTACACCGTCCGCCTGGAGCTGGGCTGTGCCACAGGGCAGCAGGACCCCACCACCAGCGTGCTCATTGATTCGGTGAGGGGTCTGGGATGGGGCTGCATGCGTCAGGGGGCACAAAGGATGTGGAATTAAGATGACATCCTGCTGACCCTCCACAGCTGGTGCTCCTTCCACGTTACTCCTCCATGGAAATGTTCATTGCGGGTGACCCCGCTGCCATGGGACGTCGGGAGACCTTCGAGCGGTACCGCTGCGCTCAGCATTTCCACACTGTGGTGATGTCACCGGTGGCAGAGCCCTGCTCCCGACTCCTGCACAGCCTCTCAGCCATCCTGCACGACGGGGCACTGCGTGAGTATGGCCTTGCACGCCCCACACCCCATGCTGATGACCGGTGCTCACTGTGTCCTGCCCGCAGCCTGCCTCTGCGACCCACAGGGCTCGCTCAGCGCTGAGTGCCAACCCCAGGGTGGGCAATGCCGCTGCAAGCCCAACGTCGTGGGACGGCGCTGTCACCGCTGCTCCCCAGGCACCTTCGGCTTCGGGCCCGGCGGGTGCCGACGTGAGTGCCTATCCAGAGCAGTGGATGCAGGGAGAGGTGCTCCCTGTTTGCCAGGGACTTCAACACATAGATTCTTTGATGCCTTGCAGCCTGCCAGTGCAGTGGCGAGGGATCGCTGAGTGCCGTCTGCGACACCGTCACAGGGCAGTGCCCCTGCCGCCAGGGTGCCCACGGCTCACGCTGCGACCGCTGCCAGCCGGGCCACTGGGGCTTCCCGACCTG